CATCCATCCATCCACTCATTCATCCCTTCATCCATCCATTCATTCACTCATCCCTTCATCTGTCCGTCTACCATTCATTTGCCCCTTCATCCATCTATTCATTTATCCATCCATCCATCCATCCATCCATCCATCCATCCATCCATCCATCCTTCCATTCATCGTTCCATGTGTTCAGCAAGTATTTACTGAACACCTATTATGTGCCAAGCACTCTCCTCAGAACTCAGGAAATACCAGTAAACAAAACCAACAAAAATCCCTTACCACCTAGATATTACATTTTGATGGAAAGAGACAAATAAAATTGGTGAGTGAATCACATAGGTTATTAGAAGGTGATAAAGGTGTAGGTGATAAAGGAGAAGTGCCAGGAGCAAGGATTGGGTACAGTTGTGAATAAGGTGGCACCAATAGGTTGCACGGAGAAGGTGACATTTACACAGAGACTTGAAGAAAGCAAGGAGAGAACATGACTATCTGGAGAACAGCATTTGTGGAAGAGGGGACAGCCAGTGCAGAAGTTCCAAGGCATGAGTGCCTGGTGCGTACACGGAACATCAAGGAGGCCAGCGTGGCAGAAATGCGGTGAGTCCAGGAAGAGAATAGCAAATAAGTGTAGGAAGGTAGTGGTGTACAGTGGGGTGGCGTGGGGGTGGAATTGTGGCAGACAGATGGTGTTGGTATAAGGCCTCTTGGCCCTTTTGTTTACCATGGCGCAACAGACCCGTGAGATCGGCAAAAACTAAAAAGTCTGACAACAGAAAATCTGGAAATCTGGTGAGGATGTGGAGCAGTGGGAATTCTCCAGTACTGCCAGGAGGCATGGGCATCGATCCCACCACACTGGAATGCAAAGGGGCATTCTGAGTAGAACTGAACATCTGCCCATCCTTGACCCCACAGTTCCAGCCATGGGCATGCAAATGAACGTGCACACGTGTTGACTGCGGCATTTGTTTGTAATTATGAAAACATCTAAGTTTCCATATATGGGAGAGGGGATAACATGGGAGTGCCCTACAGTGGAGTTCTAGGGAGCAGTAAAAATAAATGGATTAGAGTTGTACACGTCAAAATGGATGAAGATAAAAGACATTAGGATGAGAGAAGAACACCTGGCCACAGAAGTATATGTCCCGTATGACGCTGGTATATCCAGAGCGTTCAAACAACACAACACTACTGATTGTTTCCAACATGAGTATGAAAGTATGGAGCAGTGCAGAGGGCCAGGAGTGCTGAATCCAGATGGTTACTTCTCCAGGCAGGGGCCGAGGACCAGGGCTGGAGGTTTACTCCAGGAGCTTCAGTGGCGCATGCTGAATGTGCTGTTTCTCGGGCTGGGGGACAGAGACATGCATGCTGTTATACACTCTCTACTGAAGTGATTATATAACAATGTGCTAATTTATCGTGTAATAAATTTGACCAGAAAAAAAAAAAACTATTCTGTGACGGCTTCCATGACTGGATTTCACGTTGTAGGTTTCTAAGCAGAGAATCCAAGAAAACCAAAGGAGCGGCGAAGGAAAGCCTCTCGGGTATTGTGGGAGTGCCCCTTTGCTTGGGCTACTCTATTAGAGTCGAGAAAACCCGGGACTTGTGACAACTGGAGTCAACCTGGGATCCTGGCACCAAATGCCAGCAGAAACAATCCTGCCGCCCTCGGAAGATTCTTTCTGGAACGTGAGGGCAGTTCGAGAGCTTCAGGTAGGAAGCCCGGTGGTCCTTACCCTGCGTGGCCCACCAGGATCATGAATGGCATCAGCCTCAGGGAGCTATGAGCCTGGT